AACGTGGGGGTGTAGGTGTCTTTTTGAATCAGTGTTTTTGTGTCTTTTGGGTAGATACCTAGGAGTGGGATTGCTGGGTCACATGGAACTCCTCCAAACAGTTTTCCAAAGTGGTTGTACAAGTTTGCATTCCCACCAGCAGTGCAGGAGAGTTCCTTTTACTCCACATCTTTGCTATCATTTGTTGTTGCTAGTTTTAAGACGTGCCATTCTCATTGAAGTGAGGTGATTATCTCATTGTGATTTTAATTGCATCTCCCTAATTACAAATGATGTTGAACATTTTTTCATATGCTTGTTGGCCATCTGCATTTCTTCTTTGGAGAAGTCTTTTAGCTCTCTGCCCATTTTTTGATGGGGTTGTTTATTTTTCTTGAGCTTCATCAGTTCTTTGTATATCTTTGTGATCTTTATTGATAGTATTGTGTGAGAAAATTTATTCCCAATCAGTGGGATATCTGTTTTTGTAATGTCTCTTTTGCTGTACCAAAGTTTTTAACTTGATGTAGTCCCATCTGTTTATCCTTTCCTTCACTATCATTGCATTGGCTGTTGTATCTTTAAAGATGTTATTGAGGTGTATGTCGTGTAATGTTTTCGCCCACCTTTGTTTCTGGATATTTTATGGTTTCTGTTCTTATGTCTAGGTCTTTAATCCACTTCGGTTTGGTTTTTGTGCATGGTGTGAGGTAATGATCAAGTTTCACTTTTTTGCATGTAGCGTCCTAGTTTCCCAGCACCATTTGTTGAACAAAGTTTCTTTTTTTCACGGTATATTCTTTGCTTCTTTTCAAAGATTAGTTGCCCATAAACCTGTGGGTTTTATATATGAGTTTTCTACTTGAATCCACTGGTCTGTGTGTCTGTTCTTGTTTCAGTACCATGCAGTTTTGATTATTATGGCTTTGTAGTATAGCTTGAAATCTGGGAGTGTGATGCCTCTGTTCTCTTTTTAGTTATGAGAGTTTTGGCTATTTGAGGCTTTTCATGGTTCTGTATGAATCTCATCAATATTTGTTCTATTTCTTTGAAGAATGTCATCGAGACTTTCATTGGGATAGCATTAAATCTGTATATCACTTTTGTAGGATGGTCATTTTAATGATGTTAATTCTCCTGATCCACAAACAGGGGATGTCTTTCCATTTCTTTGTCTTCTTGTATTTCTTTTAACAGTGTTTTATATAATTTTTTTGTATAGGTCTTTTACCTCTTTTGTTAGGTTTATTCCCAGATACTTGATTTCTTTTTGTTTTAATTAAAAAGTGGCTGGGTTTTTTTTATTCTCCCCTTTTAATAGGAAGGCCATCACTTTTGTGTGTTGATTTTATATCCTGCTACTTTACTAAACTGGTTGATTGCTTTGATTAGTTTCTCTGGAGTTTTTAGGATTTTCCATGTAAATTATTATAGTGTCTGCAAATAAAGATAGTTTTACTTCTTTCCGAATTTGGATTCCTTGTATATCTTTTTCCTGTCTTCTTGTTCTGGCCAGAACTTCCAATGTTGAAGAGCAGTGGTTATGAACTAAGTACATTTTTTTTTTAAAACTAAGTACATTTTTAAAGGACTATAGGAAGTGTCAAGATCTTGGTTATTTATAGACTCTTAACG